AGATCCTTTTCCGCCTCCGTGCTGACAAGAGGGGAGTTCCCTAACCTGTAGGTATGGTGCCGGTTGTTCCTCCCCAGGTGCATCACCTTGCACTTGTCTGTGTTGACCCCAGGTGCATCACCTTGCACTTGTCTGTGTTGATTTAAATGCAACGCTTTCACCAGAATCCTTGTTAAGTCCACTATGACCAACATCTGATGTCTCCTGCATATGTACTCTAGTTTCTGCCACATTAGTTGCCCCGATGACCCCTTGTCATCTTCTACAGTTAAAATGAATTCAAGCCACTGCCAATTCCTTCCCAATCCTATACAATGAACAAACCCTCCTCTTTCTTTCAAAATTGTTACATCATGTTTTGCTGTTACCTTTGCATCAACAGACTTTCCCCTCTGCATTAACTTCAGACACTGTCCCCGCAATATGACTATATTATTTAAAAAGAGAATTGGAAAGATGCCCATATAAGTAAGTTTATGATCTTACACTTCTGTAACATTAATTCAAATGAGCTCTTCTTCCTCACTCCCCTCTTTTTTTAACCATCTCTTACTCTGTTGTCTAAAGACTAAGTACTTTATCTCCTTAGTTGTCTGTGAATCCCCATGGCAAACAAAATGATGCTATAATTAATATAATCAATCATAATCCAAAGGAATTTGACATGCTCTTGTTCTTGCAACCCTTAAAATCTAAGGAAAGTAACAAGAAAGCAGTAATTGTTTCTATGTGCATAATGCAAAATTAGGAACAAATAATTCTTCGCATTTACAGTGACTAAAATATTTGCATATAACTAACTGAAAATTAAGTAAAATACATATTAATTACTTTCAAAAATGGTAGAAAGATGCTGCATTCCCCTTCCTCAACTCCAGCTTCACTTGACATTTTAATATTTCCTTTGTCCACAGGTAACTCACACAGTATAAGGTGACAGAAGGAAAGGTAATGGATAGTATATTCATGGACTGCATTCCATGTATAAGCATCTTTAGTACATAAATAAAATGCTGTTAAATAAAATAGCCATTTACTTTTTACATGACTGCCACAGACACATGAAGTTCTGTCCCGGTTTTTTTGCTTGCTCTCCGTGCTGACTTGCTGCAGTGTATGAGGGTGGCTGCAAATTGATCTGCTGTCCCTGTACTTGCACTGTTGGTACCGATGTCACAGGTGTGCCCTGTAGAAAAGTTTCAAAGACATAAATTTAAGGACAACATGCTAGAAGCCAGCATATATCCCTATTTATTTTATTGCCTTTTCATATTATGCTTAAACAACAATGAATTGTAGATTTTAATACAATGACCTCCTACATGATGTTGGGTATAACAGTAAAACAAGAAGAATACATGATATGTTAACTATCATATTCTGCATTTGTTCTCTGATAAATTAATTGCCGTAATTTATGCACAAATTCAAATACAGAATTTGAAAAGAAGAACACAGTAACTGGTTCAAAATTCTACTTCTACACGGGCAGCTTATTAAAAGTTAACTTTCTGTTCTTTAGCAATAAAGAGGGTGTGTAGATTAATATAGTTATATTGCATTGGTAGTGTAAAAATAAAAGTTATGCCATAAATCATTTCAGTTTAAAACATGAATTTAAAAAATTCTGAACAACACATATACTTCAGACATTTGCTGTTCTGCTTACATAGAATATTATGTACAGCAATACACTGACAGCACTAAGGCTATAAAGTAATTTTCCAGAAGATTCAACTCACTTTAAAAATGATGATAGATCAATCAATAGCCAAAAAAAAAAAAGCAGCACCAAAAATCACCAGATACATTTGAAAACAAAAAAGAAACCCACTTACAGTCTACAATGTAAAATAACCCAGTACATTTTATTTGTGTATAGAGATTCTAACTATTTTTTTTTATGAACTCTAGGAGCACATCCAGATGAACATGTATGTGCAATTTGTGACACTGCAGATGGGTCATTGCACTATTAATTTGCAGCAAGGCACAGTTTTTTTTGACACTGGAAGATCCTGGTGTAAAAAAACCCAACCCTTGCCAGAAAAAAAGCCGCACAGCACACATGGCTACAGTTTGCGCCACCCTAAACAGTAGCCTGGCTGGCCAGAGGCACAATCCAGCCGCTGGCCAGGCTCTGTGTGCCCAAATCTTTGCTGCTGGGGGCCCAGGGAACCCTCAGGTAAGGCTGCTGGGGCCAGCCCAGGTGCTGCTAATTGTTCCCAGGGAACATGCACATTCCCACTCATGGGGATGGGCCCTAAAGGAGCAACAGTTATGACTGCTTCGAGGCAAACAGAATCTTTAGGAAAAAGACCCAAACTCTGAGACTATAAATACAAGCCAGATGCACAAAGCTCTATAGTCAGCCATCAACACAAGGAACATCTTACCTTACTTTTTAATTTTAGAAGAGAATGTTGCTGAAAGAAGACTAAGTAAAATGGGTGTCAATCTATCTAACACTGCCCTATGCTCTTTCAGGAAATTTAAGCTCTATTGCAGAATGCTTAAATTGTCTCACTAATACATTTTTGTCTGTGAGATAATATTTACTGTACAAGATAAACACAAATATCAAAAACCCCCAAAAACTATTAAAAAGGAAACTAAACTTCTTTTCTTCTTATGCAACTTTGCAAACTGTATAAATTCTGAGTACCCGTAAGATAATCCAGATGATATTCTTTTTACAAGAAATTTCAGAAGCCTTTTAACCAGATACATAAAATGAAGTAAAACGTCAACAAGCAAACAGATTCCTCCTACTCAGTGTTTTAAGATACTATTTTTTAATAGTTAGGAATATAAATTAAGAAATACAAAAAAGGGGGGACGGGAGCATTGGTTTGTGCCCTTTCTAAGGCTAAATGGTAGGTTCCACCACACTCAAAAGATGCTCCCCATATTTATCCTCTTCTCTCTTCCTTCCAGGATGCTGTTTACATCAAAATGTAGGTCTTCCCATGCTTTGAACTATTAACAGGATGACAACAGAGAGTCCTCTATCTATTTCATTTAAAAAGTAAAGGAACTCATAATTCCCATCCATGACTTCCAGTAAGTCCTCTACCATAAGCAGTGAAGTATTATTTATTATCCCTAACATTTTCTAAAGATAGAACAGTAAACAGGAGTCTGTATACAAAGAGCCTGAATACCCTCCTTTCATGCCTCAAAGCAGAGCTCATTTTTTATCTTTTTCCAAGCAACTTTCAAAGATTGCATACAATATTTTGCTAAAGTGTTTGCAACTTTATTATTATAATTTCTGGATTACAGCTTTAAAGGAACCCAAATCAAGCAATTGTGATACGTTTAATTTGCATACAGTGCTTGTAATTTTTTTCCTTCTATTTCTTTCAGGTGTGATGTAGAATACTCTCTTCTGCTACACAGCCAATTCCTACTTCGGCAAAATCACGTATGAGCACTACTGGAATTGCCAAAATCAGCAAAAAAATCCCAAAGAACTTTATGAACTCCGAAATACAGCACTGTTTGAAGCAGAGCTTCTGTGACAAGACAGGCAGTACAGGTAAGCCCCACTTAACACTGTTGCACTTATATAACACTCATTTGAAATTGATACCTGATTTCACTTAGCGCTTAGCAAGTTTTGTTATAACACTCGCGCTTGCCATCTTGAGTCACCAAACACTTTGGGTTTCACTTAATGCTCGTTTCGCTTAATGTTCGTTTTTTCAGGAACCAATTAAGCGCACTAAGTGGGGGTTGCCTATAGTTACAAGAACTCTGTAATTATGAAAATCAGACCCCATACAAGTGAGAAGAAAAGACAACTGTGAAGGACCTCCTAGATCAAGTCTAGTCTCTTGCTATCATGGAAAATCACATCATTTAATTTCTTCTTAACCTGAGTGAGCTCCATCTTTCCATTTGTTAGGTTTCATTTGTTAGGTCTATTACTCTTATTAGAAGCCTGATCCAGAACCTCTCTGCTCTGATAGTTGGACATCTTCTAAGTCAGCAGTTCTCAACTTTCTTAGATTCATGGCACCTCCCTCCTGGCCAAATTTTTTTTCTTTGGTGGCCCCCGAGCTGAGAACAACTGTTGTGTTGCCTCCGATGACCTCAGTCGTTCTTAACTGGGGTGCTGCGGCACCCACCACCACAGCCGGGTGGAACTGCCCCACACACCTCAAAGAGCCAGAGCAGGAAAGACTACAACAACAGCATGTACTCTTGACTGCATTAGGGTTATCTGATAAACTAAGCAGGCAGGAGTGTGCAGCCTCTCAGTCTGATCCTGCATGTTTCCAGAGACATGCAGTCATCAAGTCCTTAAGACATCCAATTACTCTTGTATTCCTGATCTGCTTTTGTACTGATGGTACCTCTAGCTCCAGATCATCAAGCAAATTATCAGAATACACCTACTTTTTATGCCAATTACCTGTGTGTAACAGCAATGAATCTGTTAAATAAAATCAACCCCAATCCTCGATGAACTCGTCATTACCTCCTTCTAACCTGATGCTTCCCATTTTCAAAAATGTCTAGTGTCATCAAACCATTTGGTCAGTTCATTACCTACTTTAAAATACTGTACTGCTTCCCATCTTCTCTACCTTAAGTAATAATTTCCTATGGGTCACTGTGGGAGGGGAGACAAAAGCCCCCCTCCTCAGCATGTCTCAGGACCCCACCCGATGAGCCCCAATACTTAGTGCATGGGCCAGTATGAGCAGCAGCTGGGGGAAGACACAAATGCAGGCTTGGTGGCTCCGCAGCTGCCTGAGCCTGCAGATCAGCGATCCCTGGGGGTGGAGCCTGGAAGTAGCGCAGGCTGCTCAAAAGGCAGCTGGGGAGACACCCAGCTGCTGGGGAGGAGAGACGGAGGCTGCCAGGGTCAGGCGAGTAGGGGAGCCAAGCAAGGAGCAGTGGGATGCCTGCGAGCAAGATCAGGACACCAGCGCGGAGCCCTGGACGGCGAAGCCAAGCGAAGAGGAGCAGAATGCTGGCAGGGAGAAGCAGGACACCGGTGGGGAGCCACAGGCAGCAGAGCCAGGTAGGAGTGGTGGAGCGGGGCTCAGGGTGAGAAGCCCCAGTGTCCAACAGAGCCACCCAGCAGGAAAAACCCCGGGGTGGAGCTCAAGGAGCCAGAATTGGCCAGAGAGGCACAGCAGGGAGAGGAAGGCTGTCCCCACAGTCGTGGGTAAAGATCAGGCTCTGCGGGAGTGGCCAGGTACCTCAGTGGGGAAGGGCGGTGAGCAACACCAAGACTTGGCAGGCAGCCAGGTGGGGTAAAGGGGAGTTTTGGAGCCCCACAAAAAAAGACCCAGGGTTGCAACCCCACTGGGACCACCAACAGGGAACTGCCTCCCCCATCTATCAACATCAAAGTTGTGGCAGGCGAGTAGGGGCAGTGCTCCCATCCTTTCTTCACTCCTCTGCATTCAAGTCAGACAGCTTCTTCCTTCTCCTCCTCGCTGCCTGGCTACCACCAGCGAATCACTGACTCAGCTCCTGTATTTAATATCACAGCAGTCCCTGGCAGCCAGGCGTATTACCAGGGAATTCCTGCTCAGCCCTTGCACCTTGGAGATGAATATGGCATATGGAATCTGGTAAGTCCCTGGGTACCATGAAAGACTGTGCGGCCACAGTGCAAATGGGATTTTTGGCAAATGTAGCTATCAAACTCTAACAAGTTTCTACCTAGTGTGTATACAGCCCCTTTCCTCCCCACCCCCCCGCAGAAACGTGGGGCTTTTCTGGATAAACTTTGGCAGATGTTCACGGGGACGCAAACTGCACAATCTCCCTTGCCAAGTGTTATGTCCATGCTCTAAAACACTGAACCACCATAGCTTCTCAGCAAAACACCCATACAATATTTTTAAGTTTGGTAAAAATACATTTCTCTAAATCATTTTGGAAACGGCTATTTCTGCTTAAATAATTTGTTTAAAAAACTCAACCTGAGGCAGATGCACAGCATGGAAAATTAATTCAAAACATTTTAAGTTTGGAAAAGATATAAATATAATGAAAACGACCTGATCCCGGAAGATGTTAGGCAACTGTAACTATAGGCATTGCTACCTGTGCCATCTACAATAAAACCCACAAAATCTGCATCTGGTCAAGTTCTTGGTGTTTGTTTCTTGTTTGCCCAAGACACCATTCCATTGTTCTCCAAAAGTAGTAAAAGGGTTT